AATTTGCTGAATCTCTGGGAATTTGGCGAAAGAAAGCACAGAAGCACAAAGGATTTGCACTACAACCCTTTAAATATCTGTTAAATTTGAAAGAAATTTCTTTTATTCAGCAAAGAGGTTCCGCTATGACTTATCGATCTTCAGTTGGTTCATTATACAAATTCACAAGTCAAAGTTCACCAAACTTGAACTTTAGAATGCACGAATGCAAACTTCTTCGCATGAGCTTGCGTTTCCAGTCAACAGCTTTCACAAGCAAATGAATGGAGGGCCCTGTTATTGGAAAAGAAAAAATGTAGGACAGAGACTAGTTTCTATTGACCAGTTTCTGAGTTGGATAGAGACAGATCTGAAGGCAAGCTTGAGGTCGAATGTAAAAAAGGGGAGGGGTTAAGTAGACAAAATTGAATTTACAATAAGATCAAAACATGCATTTAGAAAATAGATGACTTTATATTTTCATGTTGACTGTTACTGTATGAGAAACATTTTTCAAGTTTCCATGTTAGCTGACTGCTGTTTCTTTTAATCCCTTCATATACAAAATTCAAATAATGAATCATGCCGTTACCTGCGGCGTCCAAAGAGGGTCTCATCGGGGTCAAAGTTCACCGGAGGGCGGTTGTGGGGCACCGGCGGGGCTGGCGCGTGTTCTCTCGACAGGGCCACAGCACGAGACACCCGCGGGGGCGCGTGCGCACATATCCCGCTCACCTGTAAACAGGAGAAGATTGGCGGGCTGAGTGTGATCACTCTTGGACATAGTTCTGGAAGACATCCAGCTGAGAAAGCAATTAATGAGACAAACTGTCCCAGCATAACTTTTTCCCCATTCAGCTAATTGTCTAGCTGATGGTGCCGCACTTGCCTCCTGTTTGTTTGTTTGTGTTTGATGACAATAGGATTTACATAACAAAACGGGGCATTGTTGAGTCTGTCAGACACTCTGACTGCACTTTTTCAATAATCATAACCCTTTGCAGACATAATGAAGGTAAACAAGCCTCTCGTTCCCCTTCTCATGCGCGCAAAATGCTATTGTTTTTATACAGGACAACATAATAATACTAATACCCCAACCATGCTGGCTGTGTGAGATAATGGAGTCTTGCCATTCTTTCAGGTGCAATAAAAATGCAAATGCTTCTTAATGTTTAGCTGGTGGTTTAATGATTTGCCGCTGGTTTAATTTCCCATGGGGGCTGGTCCAGGGCGTAATTTTGCCATGTAATGCTTGTGGCATATCATGCCTGCTTGTTCATGAATGAATATGTGTGTGTGGGGGTAAACAGGCTCTGGAATTCTGATGACATTCGGGAAAGGAGATCAATAGTACAAGGACATCTTCATGCGAACCGGGACGGCTGCGGGATTGGTCGCTGTGGCTAAACATAACAAGAAGATACACTTTTTAACATGTTCTGAAACATCAGGGGTGGGGCGATTCACCCTACAGTCATTCATAAAATTTGCACACATCAAGAAATACACCAACAAACTGCTGTTGAGCTAAACGACATGATTATCAGCGTAGATCAATAGAAGCTCTTTCTAGCAAACAGCCCAGAGGAGGGTAAATAGATACTGTTGATGTGTGTGTCAGTGTGTTTGTGTGTGAAAGAGATTAAGAGAAAGAACAAAAAACACAGAACTAGACAGAGACAAAAGCGGTGGCTACAGCGGAAGATCAGATCAGAGAGTCTTGACACAAATGCAATCCTGATGCAACATATTCTAGCACTGCAACGCTTTCTACCGTTGCTTTTCTCTGTGGATCCTCGGGTCACAGGATATCTAACTCAAACCCCAGCTCTTTAAAATGAGCAGGTAGCTAAGTTCCAAACTACTCTATAGACCATTTTGCAAGATGTAAACAAAACTGGTCCAGAAGCACTTTCTGTTTCAGTTTTTTAACACTACATAAAAGCTGGGATAAAATACAACCAACAGAACATATAAAACTGAATCAAAAAGTTAAACAAACATCTTTAAGATTGTTTCTTTACGTGTGAAATAAAGAAAACAGTACAAACTGAAACAGGAAGTGTTTCTGGACCAGTGTTGTTTACATCTTGCAATGGTAGCTAGGGTAGGTTGAAAACTGTCTATTTTAAAAAAAAAAGATGAGAAATATTGTTTGTAATACATGTTTAAATACAAAAAATATATAGGGTGAAAGTAAGGAGTGCTTATATTCAGACCAACAACATTATTGGTTTTATGCGACATATCAATAAACAAGAGAAAAAGCTCTTTCATACCAAGGATGATATCTATAATGATAATGATAGATATAGTTTTAAAAATCATTCTAAATGTAAAAGAATAGCAATGTAAACAGAGTCCACACCAAAACTATAACAGCAACAATTGTTGGAATCACTTTCTGAAACTATTTGTTTTTCCAGATGATGAAAAAGAAACACATTGACAGCCAATCAGAAAACCTGCTTTTTCTCGAGTTCACATCTACATATAATTATTATGGTAAAGGTTATGCGTAGCCTACTTGGCGTGCTGTCCGGGAGGGCTCCGAACTCGGACTTGATACGGTTGGGTGCCGTAACGCGATAGGGAACTGGTTCCGATGTGAACGGTAATAACCAGACCGAAAATTACGGTGCCTGAGTCATGAGGCGCACACACGCAAAGTCTCTCGTTCTCTCCCTCTCCCTTGTGTGCGTACTATACGGTTTGAGCAGACGCGCAAACACGCTCTTGCTCACTCGCTCGCTCTAGATTCCGGGAGATTTTAACTAACTGCTAAAATTTTAACTAAACTCTAAACTGCATTTAGAACATTTTTTCAAAAATGAAATGCAATGTACAAATAAGACCATGGGTAATTAACATTAGTTGTTTCTCCATCTTCCAAATCTGCCGTCACCTCTTGCTCACTGCGGTCAAGTGGGCCGCGCGTGGAAAATACACGGTCAAGCCAGCCGCACATTTTTTTTTACCATGCGCGTCAAATCCTGCACTTACGGTATGGGTGCTGAAAGACGCCAAAATTGATTTTAAAACTCCTTTGCCTGCTATTCCATCGTATTAGGACACAAATAATACAATTTCATGATTTTTTCCTAAAACATGACTTTTAATACTGTTTGTTTGTTGTTATTGTAATGTTTCTAGGCTATACCAAGTATAATGTATTCATGTTCATATTATTAAACATTTTCATACATTTTTATTGTTAGTATTTACGTTTTTTGGAGACTACTTTCTGCTATTTTCCATCTTATTTGGAGACAAAAATATATATATATATATATATATATATATATATATATATATATATTTTTTTTTTTTTTTTAAACATGACTTTTTTATTTTTTTTTTTATTATTATTTTAATGTTTTTGGGCCTATATATGATTTACATTAATTTAAATTTTATTTTTTAAAGATTTAATTTATTCATGCTCGTGTTAATGTTAATTATCATACATCATTAGTTTTTTTGCATTTAATTGTTAATTTGAATGTTTATATATATGTGTGTTACATATATATATATATATATATATATATATATAATTTGATTTTTTATTATACATTATTATTGCCTACTTTATTAATGTGAATGAAATTGAATAATAATATTAATTATCGATATATTTATTAAACATTTTTTTGTTGATTTTAATGTTTTTATACACTCATTATTATTATATGTAATGATGATTATTTACTTATTTTAATTTTTATGTTAATGTAAATGACAAATATGATACAACAGGCTTTTAGTGGCTTTTAATCATTCAATTATCATTGAATTTCTCTCTCTATATATATGCGCTTCCATGTTCAAACGATATACACGTCTCATGTTCAAACACTCATAAAAATTGTTCATTCATAGGTTTGCTCATTCTCTCAACTGATTTCTGTTAAGAGGGACCCTGGCTATTACTGTATTTATTATCAAGTCATTTTACTGTATATTTTTGGAGAAAAATGCAGGCAAACCCAGCCCAATCATCAAAGTGTGTTATTAAACGACGTCCCATGTTCAAACACTCATAAAATGTGTTCCTTCATAGGTTTGCTCATTCTCTCAACTGATTCCTGTTCAAAGGGACCCTGGCTATTACTGTGTTTATTGTCAAGTCATTTTACTGTATAGTTTTGGAGAAAAGTGCAGGCAAACCCAGCCCAATCATCAAAGTGTGTTACAGCACTTAAACCAGGTCCCATGTTCAAACAATCATAAAAAGTGTTCCTTCATAGGTTTGCTCATTTTCTCAACTGATTCCTATTCAGAAGGACGCTGGGTATTACTGTGTTTTTTGTTAAGTCATTTTACTGTATAGTTTTGGAGAAAAGTGCAGGCAAACCCAGCCCAATCATCAAAGTGTGTTATAGCACTTAAACCAGGTCCCATGTTCAAACAATCATAAAAAGTGTTCCTTCATAGGTTTGCTCATTTTCTCAACTGATTCCTATTCAGAAGGACGCTGGCTATTACTGTGTTTTTTGTTAAGTCATTTTACTGTATAGTTTTGGAGAAAAGTGCAGGCAAACCCAGCCCAATCATCAAACCAGGTCCCATGTTCAAACAATCATAAAAAGTGTTCCTTCATAGGTTTGCTCATTTTCTCAACTGATTCCTATTCAGAAGGACGCTGGCTATTACTGTGTTTTTTGTTAAGTCATTTTACTGTATAGTTTTGGAGAAAAGTGCAGGCAAACCCAGCCCAATCATCAAAGTGCGTTATAGCACTTAAACCACGTCCCATGTTCAAACACTCATAAAAAGTGTTCCTTCATAGGTTTGCTCATTTTCTCATCTGATTTCTGTTCAGAGGGACCCTGGCTATTACTGTGTTTATTGTCAAGTCATTTTACTGTATAGTTTTGGAGAAAAGTGCAGGCAAACCCAGCCCAATCATCTAAGGGCCAATCCCAATTCTACCCCTTACCCCTTCCCTTTCCCCTAGCCCTACCCCTTCGCCTTCCCCTTGACCCTAGAAACAGAGTGGCAATGCGTAGGGGTGAAAATATTCCCCTAAGAAATGGGACACCACTACGCCTCCGTTAAACGTCATTATAAGTCGTCGCTAGCGCCTACGTCACAGGATATGCGGCGATGTTTATCACAACTTCCAAGATCCCGTCGACAGCTGCAGTTATCTCAGTTGCGTGGGTTACAGCTATTTTCTTGCATCTTGTGAAGTTCACAGGAAACAACGGAGACGACGAAAATATGTTGCGGGACTATCGTTAGCAAACTACAGTAATTTTAGCGATTTTTTTACAAACGTTTCTGTGAAGAAACTGACCGTAAATATGAACACAATATTGAATGTAACATAAAGCAAATCATTATTTGTCGTTATAATACTTATTAAAGCCACAAATACTTAAATTTATGGGTCTCCTTTGTCGCTTGGGCAGCCAGTCTGGGTTAGCAGTGACACTTCTCATACCCCTCCGTTTGAAGTGTGCTCCCGAAAAATCTTCGTTTGAAGGGCTATCTGGCCCTTCACCCTAGCCCTCCCCCTCCAACCAAAAGAGAATTGGGACAGCCCTACCCCTTCACGTGGACGCGCAAAACGGAGGGGAAGGGGAAAGTGAAGGGGTAAGGGGTAGAATTGGGATTGGCCCAAAGTGCGTTATAGCACTTAAAACACGTCCCATGTTCAAACACTCATAAAAAGTGTTCCTTCATAGGTTTGCTCATTTTCTTATCTGATTCCTGTTCAGAGGGAC